TGATGAAAGAAGGGAACGTTTCTCCAGTTTGAGGGTTATTTATGGACAAAGTACTAGTTCTCAAGTTGTACAGCTAACCACGTTTTTTTTTTTTTTGAGACAGAGTCTCACAGTGTCACCCAGGCTGGAGTGTAATGTTGTGATCTTGGCTCACTGCAACCTCTGCCTCCCAGGCTCAAGAGATTCTCGTGCCTCAGCCTCCTGAGTAGCTGGGATTACAGGTGTGCCAGCATGCCCAGCTAATTTTCATATTTTTAGTAGAGATGGGGTTTCACTATGTTGGCCAGGCTGATCTCAAACTTCTGGCCTCATGTGATCTGCCTGTCTTGGCCTCCCAAAGTGCTGGGATTATAGGCATGAGCCACCACGCCCAGCCCCTAACCACTTCTTCAGTATGCTGTTAGCTCTTGGGGATTATACCCTAAATATTTTAAGGAAGCCAATGAAACCAAAAAGGTTACCTTGTTATTACCAAATGTGGCAGACTGTATTTCCAAGATGTTTGCAATAGTATCTTCTGTCTTACATGTTTGTCTACAATTTGACCTGGCTGCTGACCCATCACAAAGTGAAATCTGGCCGGGCGTGGTGGCTCACGCTTGTAATCCCAGCACTTTAGGAGGCCGAGGCGGGCGGATTACGAGGTCAGGAGATCGAGACCATCCTGGCTAACACAGTGACACCCCGTCTGTACTAAAGAATACAAAAAATTAGCTGGGCATAGTGGTGAGCGCCTATAGTCCCAGCTACTCAGGAGGCTGAGGCAGGAGAATGGAGTGAACCCAGGAGGTGGAGGTTGCAGTGAGCCGAGATTGCGCCACTGCACTCCAGCCTGGGTAACAGAGCAAGACTCCGTCTCAAAAAAAAAGTGAAATCTACCTCCCCTTCCTTGAATCTGAGTAGGCTCGTGACTGCTTGGACCAATAGAACACAATGAAAATGATGGTGTGGGCCGGGCATGGTGGCTCACTCCTATAATCCTAGCATTTCGGGAGGCCGAGGCGAGCGGATCACCTGAGGTCGGGAGTTCAAGACTAGCCTGACCAACATGGAGAAACCCCATCTCTACTAAAAATACAAAATTAGCTGGGTGTGGTGGCGCATGCCTGTAATCCCAGCTACTTGAGAGGCTGAGGCAGGAGAACTGCTTAACCCAGGAGGCAGAGGTTGCGGTGAGCCAAGATCGTGCCATTGCACTCCAGCCTGGGCAACAAGAGCGAAACTCTGTCTCGAAAGAAAATGGTGGTGTGTTCTGAGGTTAGATCATAAAGGGTGACGCAACTTCCATCTTGTCACTGATACACTCACACTTGGAGATGTAAGCCACCACATAAAAAGCCTGACTACCCAGAGGCTAACACTGAAAGCCAAGCCACACAGCAAAGTCCTATATTGGTGCTCCAGTTGGCTGTCCTTACCTTTGAATCATCCTATCTCAGGTACCAGGCATCAGTGAAGCAGCCTTCAGATGATTCCAGCCCTCAGTCACTGAGCCTGCATTCCATCCCATATCAGGGAGCAGAAAGAGGCCTCCTCATGGTGCCAGGTCCAAATTCCCTTACCCACAGAATCCATGAGCATCATATGGGTATTATTTATTTATTTATTTATTTGAGATGGAGTCTTGCTCTGTCGCCCAGGCTGGAGTACAGAGGCGCAATCTCTGCTCACTGCAAGCTCCACCTCCTGGGTTTAAGCAATTCTCCTGCCTCAGCCTCCCAATTAGCTGGGACTACAGGTGCTCGCCATCACGCCTGACTAATTTTTTGTATTTTTAGTAGAGACAGGGTTTCACTGTATTAGCCAGGATGGTCTCGATATCCTGACCTTATGATCCACCCGCCTCGGCCTCCCAAAGTGCTGGGATTATAGATGTGAGTCACCGTGTCCGGCCACCATATGGGTGTTTTAAGCTGCTAAATTCTGGGGTAATTTGTTATACGGCAATAATAACTGGAATACCATGTTTCAACCTAACCCTGCCACCATCCTGTCCCATTGGTTTCCAACAGTACATACTACAAACTTCCATTCCATTTTGATTTAGGGACATGTAGCAAATTCCCTTGAGCAGATGCTTGCCAAAATGATGTCCATTGCCAAGACCACAATCAGAAGCGCTACTGAAAGGGAACATGCGTAGAATCCATGGATCTCAGGCCATGGTTGAATACGTTTGGCTAGAAACTGTCATATGTGCCCAAATAGTTGATATTGTCACTATTTGGGACATTGTCTGGATTTTATGACTTTTATAACTAACCATGCTAATATATAATATATAACTAACCACAGCTACTATATATATATACTACTATATATAATATATATAATAATATATATATAATATATAATATAACTAACCACAGCTACTGACCTAAAAAGGAATTTCACCAGTAACCATGGTCATTGAGACAAATCTAGTTTAACAAAATACAGCCAGTGCTGATGAAGACTGAAAGCCCAATACTTCTTCTTTTTTTTTTTTTTTGTGGCAGAGTCTGGCTCTGTCATCCAAGCTGGAGTGCAGTGGCGTCATCTCAGCCGCTGCAACCTCTGCCTCTTGGACTCAAGCCACCCTCCCACCTTAGCCTCCTGAGTAGCTGGGATTACAGGAATATGCCACCACACCCAGCTAAGTTTTGCATTTTTTGGTAGAGACAGGGTTTCACCATGTTGCCCAGGCTGGTCTTGAACCCCTGGGCTCAAATGATATGCCTGCCTCAGCCTTCCAAAGTGCTAGGATTACAGGTGTGAGCCACCGTGTCCGGCCCAATACTTTAATAAGAGATGCAAATCAGTATTTGTATCAGTTATCCAAATCATCTTTTTAAAAAGAATATATGGCTTAGGGGTTTAGGCTACAAATATACCCATGGAATCCAGTCACAAGCCAAGATGATTCACACTTCTAAACAGATACTCACCCTTTCTGCACTCCTGATAGATTGGTTGCAAAGGATCAGTCCAAACATTTACATAAAAGAAAATTACTATTCTGTCCCTGTAAACCAATACACTATTAGTCTGCACTATAGACTACATTCCTGCTATCTTCATTTTCTTTTGCCCCAGACATTTCTTTATTATTATTTTCTTATTTCCAAACAGAACTCTGAGACAGTAATGAGAATTTTTGTTTCCGTTCTATTTATCTTTTTCTAATTTTAAGAAATCAACTTATTAAAGAACATTTTTGTATTCACAGTAACCTGTGTCCAATTTAAGAGGATTAAAAAAAAAAAAAAAACAACTGACACAAAGAAGAAAAGGGCCAGGCATGATGGCTCAGTCCTGTAATCCTAGCACATTGGGAGGCTGAGGCAAGAGGATCACTTGAGCCTAGGAGTTCAATACCAAGCTGGGAAACATAGTGAGACCTCATCTCTACAAAACAATTCAAAAATTAGCTGGATGTGGTGGTGCATGCCTGTAGTCCCAGCTACTCAGGAGGCTGAGGCAGGAGGATTGCTTGAGCCCAGAATTTGAGGCTGCCAGGGTGAGCAGTGACTGCACCACACCTGCACTCCAGCCTGGGCAACAGAGCCAGACCTTATCTCAAGAAAAAGAAAAGAAAAGAAAAACAAACAAACAAACAAACAAACAAAAAGGATGGGGCGGTGGGAGACATCCAGTTAGAGAATACTGGTTGGAGGCAGCCACCCTAACTACCCACATGTCTCCCCAAAACCCCCTTCCCAGGGTACAACAGTCTTGTCAAATTATTTCAGTAATAAAGCAGTTCATAGGCTTTTAGAATCCTAAAGAGAAGAAAATGAAGGCTTTGATGAACAAAGATTAACCTTGTTAAGAACCTAGAACAAAAAGTCAAATACTCTTTTTTTTTTTTTTTTTTTTTTTAATGAGACGGAGTTTTGCTCTGTTCCCCATGCTGGAGTGCTGGGGCAGGATCTCGGCTCACTGCAACCGCCGCCTCCCAGGTTCAAGCAATTCTCCTGCCTCAGCCTCCTGGATAGCTGGGATTACAGGCGCCCGCCACCACGCTCGGCTAATTTTTGTATTTTTAGTAGAGACGGGGTTTCACCATCTTGGCCAAGCTAGTCTTGAAATCCTGCCCTCGTGATCCACCCGCCTCGGCCTACCAAAGTGTTGGGATTACAGGCGTGGGCCACCACGCCCGGCCTAAATATTCTTTTTTAGGTGTTTTAAAAGGAGATCGAAATAACTGTTTATCATTGTTAAGTCTAACCTCCTCTTTCCTCATGTGAAAAGTAAAGAAATGTATCGTTGCTATATGAAGGGTTCGTTTAGGAAGACTGTGGGATGGTTAGAATGAAGAAAGTGGGAAGAAAATTGGCGCCAAAAAGAATATTAAAAAAACAACAACAGCAACAACAACAACAACAAAAAAAAACGCGATGATGACCTGACCTGGGGGTGATTGGGACTAGGGAGTAATTCTGCCAAATACGATCCCATTTCACGGGAAAGGGAATGCCTGGGCTGGACTCCGATATAGCAGTTATTCCTGCTGGTACCTAAGCAGTTCAGAGATGCTAGACTGCAGGGATACCCCCCATCAACGAATTGAAGCATCCCATTCCCCAGGCTTCCACATGTGGGAGTTCTCTCCGCCAGCGAGATAAAGGCGGGTCCAGGGAAAACAAAGCCCTAGACCACAACAAGGTAACACCTTCTCGCACCCCATTTTCACGTTCCCGCCCGGTTGCTTCCTGCTATCCTGGTCCGCTCTCCCGCCCGGCAGGGTCTAACGCTCCCACGGGTCTGCCAATTCCCCTGATGCAACCCTCCACCCCCTGCCCGCTAACCCCAGTCCAGTCGGCTCTCCTGGGCCTCGACCCCCGCGGTGGAGACTAAAGGGTTCAGGTTTGGGTCCCCCACAGGCAGCCGACCTCGGGTCAGCGTATCCGAGGTGGAGCCGCATCCCCCAGCCCGGTCATCTCGTGCTGGGTTCCTCAGTGCCCACCTGGCCGATCATCCTCTTTCCCAGCCCCCTCCCTCCTGCGCCTCCAGCCAACCTGGGACTAGCCTTTCGGGATGACCGTCACGCCTGGACGCAGGGCTCCAGCTCCTCGGACTTTTCCTCTGATGGGCTCCCGGCTGCCACCTTGCTCTCCGCCACCTCCACCAGCGCTTGCCCCACTTGACGCCGCCATCCCGGGCGACCGCACTGGGCACAATTCCCGCTGCCCATTGGCTGTTACCTAGGCAACCGGGAGCAACGCCACTCCGCATTGGCCCAGCCCGCCTCCGCGCCATCTTTGTGCGGGGCGGAGTGTTTGCGAACCGGAGCTATGTGAAAGAGGGGTGGTCCCACCTCTGCAACGCAGATGAGACAGAGGATCCAAATCTGGCCTACCCCGAGGCCGTCTAGTTGAAATGGCAACCCCAAAGAAAACCAAACCTGCGCCGGAAGCAACAGTGACCATCAACGCGAGCGGCTGTGATCTTGCTCCAGTCCCCACTGCTGAGTTTAAGACAGATCCTAAATCTAGCTTCAGAGAAGGAGCTTTGTAAATTGTAACGCGCTGGGCAGGACAGCCTCCAATAACTCTGTGCTAGACATTGTGATATCAAGACACTTTTGCATTCGTTATAGGAATTTGTGCTGTCCTTGTCATTACCTAGATTCTTTTTGTTTAAAATATAGTACCTGGCCAGGCGCAGTGGCTCACATCTGTAATCCCAACACTTTGGGAACCCGAGGCAGAGGAGGATCGCTTGAGCCCAGGAGTTCTAGATCAGCCTGGGCAATGCAGGAAGACTCCGTATCTATAGGAAAAAAAAAAAAAAATTACCCAGCCTGGTGGTGTGTGCCTGTAGTCCCAGCTACTCAGGAGGCTGAGGTGGGAGGATCCGTTGAGCCCAGGAGGTTGAGGCCACAGTAAGCCACGATTCTGCCACTGTACCCAAGCCTGGGCGACCTAGCAAGACCCTGTCTCAAATAAATAAACAAATAAACAAACTGCAAACCAAAAAGTATCTGAGACAGGTTTCAATTTAGAAGTTTATTTTGCCGGCCGGGCGCGGTGGCTCAAGCCTGTAATCCCAGCACTTTGGGAGGCCGAGACGGGCGGATCACGAGGTCGAGAGATCGAGACCATCCTGGCTAACACGGTGAAACCCCGTCTCTACTAAAAAATACAAAAAACTAGCCGGGCGAGGTGGCGGGCGCCTGTAGTCCCAGCTACTCGGGAGGCTGAGGCAGGAGAATGGTCTAAACCCGGGAGGCGGAGCTTGCAGTGAGCTGAGATCCGGCCACTGCACCCCAGCCTGGGCGACAGAGCAAGACTCTGTCTCAAAAAAAAAAAAAAGAAGTTTATTTTGCCAATGTTAAGGACATGACCGTGATACAGCCTTAGAAGGTCCTAAGAATGTGTGTCCAAAATAGTTGGGCCACCGCTTGGTTTTATACATTTTAGGGAGACATAAGACATCAATCAATACATGTCAAATGTACATTGGCTTGGTCCCGAAAGGAGGTGGGGGTGGCAGGTTCCAGCATGTAAGTTGATTCAAAGATGTCCTGATTGACAATTGGTTGAAAGAGTTTAAAGACCTGGAACCCGTAGAAGGGAATGTCTGGGTTAAGTTAAGGAATTGTTACTAAGATAGGCACACACACACACACACACAGAGAATTGTGGAAATCAAGGTTTTTATTATGCAGAGAAGGCTACAGGTAGCAGGCTCCAGAGAGCATAGATTGTAAATGTTTCTTTGCTTTTTGTTTCGTTTTGAGGCAGGGTCTCCCTCTGTCACCCAGTCGGGAGTGCAGTAGCTGGATCATGGCTTACTGCAGTCTTGACCTCCCAGGCTCAAGTGATCCTCCCACCTCAACCTCCTAAGTAGCTGAGACTACTGGTTCATTCCACTATGCCTGGCTTATTTTTGTATATTTTGTAGAGATGGTGTTTCCTCATGTTGCCCAGGCTGGTATTGAACTCCTGGGCTCAAGCGATCCTCCCATCTCTGCCCCCCAAAGTGCTGGGAATACAGGCGTGAGCCACCATGCCTGGCCAGTGTTTCTTATCAGATTTAAAAAGGTATCAGACTCTTAGTTAGTTCTCTCCTGGATCAGGAAAAAGACCTGGAAAGGGAAGGGGATTTTCTACAGAATGTAGATTTTTACCACAAAAGACACCTTTGCCTGCTATCATGACAGATGGGGTCTGCTGTCTGTCAATGCTGGTATCATTGCTACAAAGAGTCTGCTGTGTCAACCTTAAGTTCTCTGCTTTAATGTTTTTTGTTTTTTGTTTTTTTTTTTGAGACAGAGTTTTGCTCTTTTTGCCTAGGCTGGAGTGCAATGGCACGATCTTGGCTCACCTCAACCTCCGCCTCCCAGGTTCAAGCGATTCTCCTGCCTCAGCCTCCCAGGTAGCTGGGATTACAGGCATGTGCCACCGCTCTGGCTAATTTTGTATTTTTAGTAGAAACCAGGTTTCTCCATGTTGGTCAGCCAGGTCTTGAACTCCCGACCTCAGGTGATCCACTTGCCTCGGCCTCCCAAAGTGCTGGGATTACAGGCGTGTGCCACCGCGCCCGGCTATCTGCTTTAGTGTTAAATGCTGGTCCTGAATTCCAAAAGGAGGAGAATATAATGAGGCATGTCTGACTCCCACTTCTCATCATGGCCTCAACTAGTTTTTCAGGTTAATTTAGGAATGCCCTTGGCCCAGAAGAGGAGCCCATTCATTTGGTTGGGGGGCTTAGAATTTTATTTCTGGTTCACTAGATAAATAAATAAAATATAGTGCCAAGACTGGAGCAAATCTTCCTAAATACCATGCACATCAATCCGTGTATCCATATGTTTATTTCTTTTTTTTTTTTTTTTTTTTTTTGAGACTGAGTCTGGCTCTGTCGCCCAGGCTGGAGTGCAGTGGCCGGATCTCAGCTCACTGCAAGCTCCGCCTCCCGGGTTTACGCCATTCTCCTGCCTCAGCCTCCGGAGTAGCTGGGACCACAGGCGCCCGCCACCTCGCCCGGCTAGTTTTTTGTATTTTTTAGTAGAGACGGGGTTTCACCGTGTTAGCCAGGATGGTCTCGATCTCCTGACCTTGTGATCCGCCCGTCTCAGCCTCCCAATGTGCTGGGATTACAGGCTTGAGCCACCGTGCCCGGCTCCATATGTTTATTATTTCTTAAACAATGTGAGCACAGCATGATGCTAGGTTCTGTCAGGCTTGAAAAGCCATGATTGCTACTCTTTTTTTTTTTTTTTTTTTTTTTTTTGAGACGGAGTCTCGCTCTGTCGCCCAGGCTGGAGTGCAGTGGCCGGATCTCAGCTCACTGCAAGCTCCGCCTCCCGGGTTCACGCCATTCTCCTGCCTCAGCCTCCCCAGTAGCTGGGACTACAAGCGCCCGCCACCACGCCCGGCTAGTTTTTTGTATTTTTTAGTAGAGACGGGGTTTCACCGTGTTAGCCAGGATGGTCTCGATCTCTCGACCTCGTGATCCGCCCGTCTCGGCCTCCCAAAGTGCTGGGATTACAGGCTTGAGCCACCGCGCCCGGCCTCATGATTGCTACTCTTATGGCATTTATAATTAGTTGAGTGTGGTGACAAGTGTCTGTGGTCCCAGCACTCGGGAGGTTAAGGCAAGATAATTGCTTGAGCCTGGTTAATACAGAGACCCTGTCTCAAAACATAAATAAATAAGTAAATAAATAAATAAATAAATAAATAAAATGTAGTTTCTGGGCCAGGGGAATGACATACTACAAGCAGTATTTTATGAAAATTAGTCTGGCAGTGACACTCAGAGATGACCAGTGAGAGATTAGAAGCAAAGTAACAAACTCAGAAGTTATCGTAATAATGCAACTAACACATCCTGAAAGTTTCATGTGGCATCAGTGGAGATGAAAGAAAGGGGATGAATATGAGACATATTTCATAGGGATATTTAATAAGAATCAACATAGTGTAAACAGCATGGAAACAGTCTGCCTGGGTTTGGACCCAGCTCTGCCATTTACCAGCTGAATGACAATGGGCATATTACCTTTACCTCCCTGGGTCTCAGTTTCCAAATCACAGGATATTGTAAAGCTGGTTCCATGAGTTAATCCATGCAATGCATTTAAAACAATGTCTAGGCTGGGCGCGGTGGCTCATGCCTATAATCCCAGCACTTTAGGAGGCCGAGGTGGGTGGATCATGAGGTCAACAGATCGAGACCATCCTGTAATCCTAGGGGATTAGCCGGACGTGGTGGCCCTTGCCTGTAGTCCTAGCTACTCAGGAGGCTGAGGCAGGAGAATCACTTGAACCTGGGAGGCAGAGGTTGCGGTGAGCAGAGATTGTGCCACTGCACTCCAGCCTGGGCGATACAGCTGGCTAATTTTTGTATTTTTTTTTTTTTTTTTTTTTTTTTTTTGAGACGGAGTTTAGCTCTGTTGCCCAGGCTGGAGTGCAATGGCCGGATCTCAGCTCACTGCAAGCCCCGCCTCCCGGGTTCACGCCATTCTCCTGCCTCAGCCTCCCGAGTAGCTGGGACTACAGGCGCCCGCCACCTCGCCCGGCTAAGTTTTTTTGTATTTTAGTAGAGACGGGGTTTCACCGTGTTAGCCAGGATGGTCTCGATCTCCTGAACTCGTGATCCGCCCGTCTCGGCCTCCCAAAGTGCTGGGATTACAGGCTTGAGCCACCGCGCCCGGCCTAATTTTTGTATTTTTAAGAGACGGAGTTTCACCATGTTGGCCAGGCTGGTCTCATGGGATGATTATTTCCATTTTATAGGTTAAGGAACTGAGGCTTAGAGAGGTTATGTAACTTGTCTGAAACAACTGCTCACCGTGGAGACTGAATTCAAACTCAAATGTCTCTGATTTCCAAGCCCATGCTTCCAACCATTACATTTTACACTTTTTTTTTTTTTCTTTGAGATGGAGTCTGGCCCTGTTGCCTAGGCTGGAGTGCAATGGCATGATCTTGGCTCACTGCAACCTCTACCTTCCAGGTTCAAGCGATTCTTTTGCCCCAGCCTCCCGAGTAGCTGGGATTACAGACGCCTGCCCCCATGCCCGGCTAATTTTTTGTAGTAGAGATGGGGTTTCACCATGTTAGCCAGGCTGGTTTCGAACTCCTGACCTTGTGATCCACCTGCCTTGGTCTCCCCTAGGATTACAGGCATGAGCCACCATGCCTGGCCGTACATTCTACACTTTTGAAGGTAGTGTTTGTATACCCTTTTTTTTTTTTTGAGACGGATTCTTGTTCTGTCGCCCAGGCTGGAGTGCAGGACTGCGATCTCAGCTCACTACAACCTCCGCCTCCCGGGTTCAAGCGATTCTCCTGCCTCAGCCTCCCGAGTAGCTGGGATCCTAGGTGTGTGCCACCATGCCCAGCTAATTATTATTATTATTATTATTATTGTATTTTTAGTAGAGACAGGGTTTCGCCATGTTGCCCAGGCTGGTCTTGAACTACTGACCTCAGGTGATCCACCCGCC